CGGACGCTGAGAAGTTACTGTTCAGCATCCGATCAATGTGAGTTTGCTCGGTTCAGGTTTGCAGAGAAGCGATCGGACGCGTCCGGTCGCCGCATCGGACGCGTCCGGTGTGAACCAGCGAATCTCGGTCTTCAGCGCTATAGTTGCTCGGTCTTTAGGAGCGTTCGGTCCGGAGTGACCGGACGCGTCCAGTCGGCCCACAGCGGCTCTGGGAGCTTTGTAGACTCGACCGAACGCTGCGTCTCCTGCGTCCGGTCCGGAGTGACCGGACGCGTTCGGTCGGCCTAGAGCGGCTCTGGGAGCTTTCTAGACTCGATCGAACGCTGCGTCTCCTACGTCCGGTCGGCCCAGAGCGGCTCTGGGAGCTCTCTGGACTCGATCAAACGCTAAGTCTCCTGCGTTCGGTCGTCCACACCGGACGCGTCCGGTCGTAGTTGACAGTGGTACTCGTGACAACAATGGCTACTTCATTTGAATGGGACATGTGGCGGTCAGGCAGCGACCGGACACATCCGGACGCGTCCGGTGCACACGACTGGTGCATCCGGTCATCTCACAGTCAGCCCAATAATTGAGCCAACGACTCTATTCATGGGGCTCTCTATTTAAGCCCTATGGCTATTTCAAGCTCACTCTCTTGGTCATTTGCATTGACATAGCAACCTTGTTAGTTTAGCGAAAGCCCTCCCACTCATCTCTATCATTGATTTATCATCTTTGTGAGATTGAGAGAGAATCCAAGTGCATTGCTTGAGTGTTTGCATCTAGAGGCATTTGGTGTTCGTTTTTCGCTGCGGGATTCGCTTGTTACTCTTAGTGGTTGCCGCCACCTAGACAGCTTAGAGCAGCGAGGATCGTCGAGCGAAGGTTGGTGATTGTCTCTGGCTCCGATCGTGGTGATTATGAGGGGTTCTTAACCTTTCATCGGCGGAGAGCCAAAAGGTACTCTAGTAAATTATTCGTGGCTTGTGTGATCCTCATCTTGTGTTGGTTGTGCGGCACCCTTTCGAGGGTTTGGTGGGTGATGCTAATCAACTCGTGAACCTCCAAGTGAGTGAATCGCCACAACGAGGATTAGCTTGCCGGCAAGAAGTGAACATCGGTAAAAAATCATTGTGTCATCATTTGATTTCGAGGTGATTAGTCTCCATTGGTATTCATTCTTGTGATTGATTGGTTTATTCCTCGACTCGGCGGTATAACCATCTTGCTCACTTTTTCTTTACATTACCGTAAACTAGTTGTCAAGCTCTTTAGTGTAGCTAGTCGTGAGAGCTTGTAGTTTTGTTAGTGTGGCTTTTGAGTTAGTCTTTGAGAGCACACTAACTTAGTATAGGGACATGGCCATTATGTGGATAGAGACTATATAAACTAGAATTGTGGTAGGTGGCTTGCATTTTTAGTAGGCTAGCGCAACACTCGCTTCACCTCATATTTGTCTAACCGGTTTGCTAAGTGTTGTTGTAGAAATTTTTAATAGGTTGTTCACCCTCCCTCTAGCCATTAGGACCTTTCAACGAGGAGGTAAGCGCTAGGTCATTTTCAGACAGTGCAAGTGCTAGTTCATACTTCTCTCGCCATACCATGTAGTTGCCCCCTTCAAGAGGCGGTATGTGCGAGATAAAGGCCATTGGGTTGAGTCCTGAAAAACACCGTCCGAGATAGTGAGAAAATATGACATCATAATTACATGCTTTAATTTAACGTTGGTCAAAATTAAAACATACAACATTCGTATACACTAATTCTACATCACCGTTGGACAGAAATAGAATTAATACATGAAAAATTTATGAATAAACATTATAATATTGCTATTATCAGCGTTGGTCAGAAAAATAACAATATTATAATTTACTGAATAAAATTCAACTGCTCTTCAAATTAAATTCTTCCGTTGGTTCGAATTTAATTAGAAGATAATAAACTTTAACATTGCAGCGGAAACATTAACTTAATTGTGTGAATTTTACCCACGGGAAAAATTCTCTTTGCTAATTTTCTTGAGCCATTAATTATTTTCCAGCAATTAACCATTTTACTGGAACAAGAAAAGGAAAAATGGACTCAATTCTTTACTGTTTCTTCGGCCTAGACCGCTTTCAACCCGGCCCACCTTGCTTGCTGCACGCTGCGCCTTCCCAGGCCGCAACATGGGCCTAGGCCGACAAAGCCGCTCGCCCGCTCGCGCCCGCCTGGGCCGGCCTTCAGCCCGTTGCTTCTGCGCCGTTCGATGGAGATCAACGGCTGAGAGCGCGTTTCGGCGGAACAAAACGGCGCGACGGCGCCGCTCGCCCCCGAACCCTAGCCATTTGCTCTCCCCTTCTCTCTCTCTCAGCCCGCAAGCGAACGAGCGCAGCGGCCACCGATGAGAGCCCAGAGCGGAGGATGATGGCGCCGGTCTCCTCGTCGGCGCACGTGCTCCCCAGCGGGTGAGCGCGCCGCCATCGAGCGGCCTGGCGGCAGTGGACTAGCGCGGCGTGGAGCCCTTCCCAGAGTACTCCGGTGAGTGGAGGCCGGTGAGGGAAGCCTCAAGCCGCCTTCCAAGCCCTTCCCCTTTCGCCTTCTTCTCTCTGTATTGGATCTTGTTCTATTCTTCTCGGAGCTGGTCCGATCTAGGGTTAGGGTTAGGGTTAGGGTTAGGATTCAGGCTACTGTTCATCTTCCCCGACAGGTTAGGATTAGGGTTCAAGTACCTTTTGAAATCGAGACCCCCTTCTTACTCCTTTTCTTCACCCGATTAGGGTTTAGGGTTCGATGAACCCTCTACTTCTCTTTTCTTTCGATCCGAACCGAATCACCTCCTTCTAATTTCTTCTACTCGGTTTTCTATCTCGATAAGCTAGATCTATGCCTAGTTAGGCTCTGATACCATTGATAGAGTTTTACAGGATCATCTAGCTATAGATCTAGCATGTATACTGATATTTGGGATAAACAAGTCCTAGAACATGAACTAGTATGCGATTTAGAGATAGGGTGAGAAAGAGAGAGGGATTACGGAGGTGCAAACCATCGTCCGCCTTCGTAGAAGACGAGCTGGCCATGGAGTCGTTTGTCGGTGGCGCGGTGAAGCCTGGCGGTGAAGACGCTGTCATGGTGGCGGCAGTGCAGAGGCGGCGGTGGCCGGTTGCGGAGCTTCGCGTCGCTGGCAACGCCCTCTCTCTAGATCGGCTAGGGTTTATGGACTGTATGTGGGGTGCCTGACAGCTCAGGTAAATCTCGTGTCTTGTGCCCCGGCCTCCACCTCCCTCTGTGCGACCGGGGTCCACCAATCATAGAGTGATTGGATGCCCCCGATCAGATCGCGGATGCGAGAGCCCAATTAGCGGTTGGAAGAAGAGATCCATCTAACGCTTTCATCTCCTGCAGCGTCTCGCCGTCGGCGCCGATCCGAACAGCGACCAGGTGCGAGTTCACGCCGAACGGGAACTCGTTCTTCTCCCGGTGCAGCGCTACCCAGTACCCTCCCTTCCCGTCGGGCCTGACGTTGTCCCGGTACCCCGGCAGGTCAGCGAGCGTCTCGGACGTGCCGGCCTTGGGCCCTGGGAGCCAGTACCTCAGCAGCTTGCACGGGCCCGTGAGCGCGACGACGAGGTGGGTCCCGTCGGCGCTGACGGCGACGCCGTTCGGGTACGTCACGCCGGACTGGAGCACTGTCACCTGGCCCGTCCGCGGGTCGTACCTCATGATGCGCCCCGTGGAGTCCCCCGTGGCCGTCACCATCTGGTGCTGCGACCGCCGGTACGTGCTGCTGCTGTCCGTGAAGTACACCTCGCCGGTGCGCTGGTCCACGTCCACCCCGTTGGTGAAGCGCAGCGGCTCCCCGCCGGCCTCCGTCGCCACCACCGTCGACTCCCCGCCGCCCGGACCCACCCGCATCAGCCCCATGTACGCGTCGGCGACGTAGAGCGTGCCGGAACGCCGGTGGAGCCGCAGGCCCAGTGGCCGCCCGCACGAGCTCTCGGTGGCCACGGGAGGGAGCTCCGACGGCGTCGCGCAGTTGTTCTTCCTGTAGCTCGGGCTGTACGTGTACGTCGTCCAGCCAGAGCCGGAGCCGTTGCCGTTGCCGCCCCACCGGAGGACGCGGCCGTCGGCGACGCTGACGTAGGGCCCGGCGCCGCGCCCGTCGAACGCGACGCTCGCTGGACCGACCACCAGAGAGTCGGGCAGCTCCAGACGCTCGACTTTGCTTGCGTCGATGGCCTTCGCTGTGGCCGTGGCGGCCGCGGCAGAGGGCAGCAGTAGCAGCAGGGACAGCGAGATCACCAACAGAGCCAGCAGCTCCGACGTGCGGCGTCCCATGGCTGCTGGTGCGTCGAGTGCCGCCTGAAGGTTTGTTTCTTAGCTGATCGGTGCGATCGCTGATGCTCTGGTTTGGTGGAGCAGGGCGTGCCCGGCGGCCTCGCCTTTTATGGGGGCGATTCCAGCAGGTCGGAACTCCGAATCGACATCAGAGGCGTCCAATTCCGAATGTCCTTCGCCAAAGACGAACGGAGACACAACGGGCTCCAAAGTAGCAGAAGGGAAGTGGACATCGAATCCGTTTCGGCATTAGTACGTGATGCATAAACGAGATTACGAGAGAACAGAGGAAAATTAACCAGTTGGTTAAACAGAGGAAAATTAACCAGTTGGTTATGGATTCTGTTGTAAGGCTAGCCTGACAGCGAAGAACGGCGGCAAAATCTAGGCCGCCCACACGGACTTGGTTGCCCCGCCAGCGACGGGGTCGACCGAGCCCACCCGCTTTGTGCTCCCGCTGTAGGCAACGTCGCAAGCAAGCAGCCAGAACAATATACTGACTGGAATGCCGTTGCAGATTCATGTTCTTGCCAGTTATGCTCATTCTTTTTTTTCAGTTATTAAATTAACAAAGCCACCGCATTTCACTTCACACCCCCACTGCATTCCATTTCAGTTAAATTAACAAAGCCACTCCAATTTCTAGGGTACTGATGAATCACCGGCATGACAGGATGCTCCATGGACGGTTCTTTCTACGCCAGCTTAACGAGCTTCTTGCCAACGTTCTGGCCGCGGAACAGCGCGGCGAACGCCGACGGGACGCTCTCGAGCCCGTCGGACACGTCCTCGACCACCTTGACCTTGCCCTCCCTGATCCAGTCGGCGATGATGGCGTTGAACTCGGCGAACTTGGGCAGGAAGTCCCAGGCGAAGAAGCCCCGGATGGTGATGCGCTTGTAGATCACGTCCAGCAGGTCCGGCACCGCGCCGCCGCCGCCGCCCGTGTACTCGGCGATGACGCCGCTGAGCGCCACCCGGCCGTAGGTGTTCATGTTGGCCAGCGCCGCCTCCAGCATCTCGCCGCCCACGTTCTCGAAGTAGACGTCGATGCCGTCGGGGAAGTACCTGAACAAAATGCATGCTCTGTGTCAGGTCAGCCTGCCCTGCAGAGCAGATGGCTCAGATGGCGACGAGCACGATCGGACAGTGGCTGCACTAACCTCTTCAGAGCTGATTTCAGGTCAGGTTCCTCTTTGTAGTTGAAAGCATCGTCGAATCCCAGCTTGTCTTTGAGCAGATCAACCTGTGAATTCATCCAGTTTCATATAACCAGCTGATTTCAAAATTGAACGGTGGCTCGTGCTTTTCAAAAACACTGGCTGACAGTGACACGCGTGGCTCAGGGCACCACAGAAACATTTGTGACGTGCTGGAGATGGAGGGCAGTACCTTGGCTTTGGTCCCGGCGCACCCGACGACGTAGCAGCCGGCGATCTTGGCGAACTGGCCGACGAGGCTGCCGACGGAGCCCGACGCCGCGGACACGAACACCTTCTCGCCCTTCACCGGCTTGCCCACCTCGAACAGGCCCCCGTACGCGGTCATGCCGCTGGTGCCCAGCACGCTGATGTGGTGGGACAGGGGGAAGCCCGCGTCGTCGTCGGCGGCGGCGGAGTCGGCGACCTTGGGCATGAGCACGGCCGGGGACGGCTTGAACAGCGTGTAGTCCTCCCACCCGAGCACGCCGGCCACCACGTCGCCCGCCTTGTACTCCTCGCACGCCGACGCCACCACCTCGCCGGCCGCGTACGCCGCGATCCTCTTCACGGCCGGACACGGAGATAGAATAGAAGCAGACTCTTCTCGTCAGGCACACGTATTGATGGAGAGCAGAGCGGGACGGAGACCTGGAGACGACTCGTCGTCGCTTTAGCTGGTTGCTTACCTGGCCGGGCAGGATGCTGTCGACGGCGAGGTGCGACGCGCTGCTCCGCTTCATGCGGTTGAGCTGGTACGGGTCGATGGACAGGTACAGGTTCCTGACGAGCACCTCGCCGGAGTCCGGCGCCCACCTCGCCGTCTCCTCCTTCACCTCGAAATCGGCCTCCGTCGGGGCGCCCTCGATGTGGTGCCGGGTGGCGACGTACCTGTTCACCACCTCCATTGATGGCAGCAGCAGCAGCAACAACAACGAACAATGGCAGAAGACCAACCCAAGGCTGCCGCTGCCGGTGGCTAGCTGGTCGGTAAGACAGAAGCCAAGAACAAGCGGAAGTTGGGAGGGACGACACGAACTGAGAGCTAAGGGTCCTAAAATACACGGACGCGACCCGTTCCCGTCGGATCTTACCAGACCGAGGTTAGATACCGAGGCCCGAAGGACGGCCGCCGGCGGAGATGCGGCTCTCCTCAGTTTTGTCATCACGTCCTAAATTTCTACAATTTGACCTTTTTTTTAAAAAAAAATTACATTTGGTCCCCACTTAAACTCATCTTTAATTCTATGATCGACGTCGGGACCGATGACGCCGAGATGCCTGCCCATATATGGAAAGTGACGTTTACGTGGTGGGTATCTAGACGAATACACAACGCCCGAGCTCGGCGCCAAATATTTTGACGCCGAACAGGCCTCGTGGGCCGCGCGCGGCAGGAGGGGCGCAGAGGCCGGCCGGCGAAGCATTCGCATTTAAGGGTATGTTTGGAATATACTCCCTCCGTCCCGTATTATCTGTCTCTGGGATACATGTGCGAAGACCAAGGCAAACCTACAAAATAGTACAGATGACAGTAACCTCTGTTCTCTGTCTCTCTGTTTCAGCAGAAAAACAATAAGCTGTGTTTAGTTGAAAGGAAAGTTAGAATTTGGATATTGTATTATTTTTATTTTTATTTGATAAATAATGTTTAATTATTGACTAATTAGGCAAAACGTTCGTCTCGCGATTTTCAACCAAACTATATAATTAGTTTTTTTCTATCTATATTTACTGTTCCATACATTATCGTAAAATTCGATGTGACGAATACTATAACACTTTAAAACTATTTTTGAAACTGAACACGCGCTAAACAACGCGAGCTCCTGGACGAACGAGTGGATGAAAACAGCGGGAGGTGGGATGCCTGACCGGGTGACAGGAAGGTTGCAGGCTAGACGTAGGCGTGAGGCCCATCTACAGTCTCCTAGACGACAGTTAATTCTGTACATACTACTGTCGCTAGAACGACAGATAATACGGGACGGAGGGAGCATGCTAAGCCTTAGGTCTCACCAACAAATTCAACCGGAAATAACTGTGCACACTTTTAGTGATTGTTATATTCTTATCAGGAGAAGACATTACTGTAAAATATATGTTAATGATAGATTAATTAGATTTAATAAATTCGTTTTGTAGATTACTGAGAATTTATATAATTTATTTTATTATTATTATCCAAACACTTTCATATGATACTCGATGTGATATCTAAAACTTTACTCTTTAAATTTAAACATCACCTTAACAGAATAAGATGAAAATAGTTGTCTGGTAACCCTTTACATGTTTTGCTTTTCTCGAAAAGGCCTTGTTTAGTTTCCAACCAAATTCCAAAAGAGTGCTACAGTAGTTATCACATCGAATCTTGCGATACGTGCATAAAGCATTAAATATAGATGAAAAAAAACTAATTGCACAATTTGGTGGAAAATTACGAGACGAACGTTTTGAGCCTAATTAGTCTATGATTAAACACTAATTATCAAATAAGGCCTTGTTTAGATTCCAAGTTTTTTCACTCTCTCTCCATCACATTAAATCTTTGGACACATATATGGAGTATTAAATATAGATAAAAAAAATAACTAATTACACAGTTTGATTGTAAATTACGAGACAAATCTTTTAAGCCTAGTTATGCTATAATTAGACAATAATTATCAAATACAAACGAAAGTGTTATAATGCCAAATTCTGATTTTTAACCCTAATCTAAACGAGACCTAAAAACAAAAATATTATAGTAACTAAAATTTTAAAATTTACCGACTAAACACAGCCTTCACGTGCCATCTCTGGCCGCATGACAGCTAGTACAGCTAGCAACTAGTACAGCACCGCCATCTCTGGAACCGCAAGAACGAGGGCCCGACCCAGGTGCATGCACGCCATCTCCACTGTCTCGCAGCATGCAAATGCCCGCCCAGTCCCGTCCCTTGTGTGTGGGTGTGTGGGCCCCGCGACTGATTGCGGCTCAACGCCTCCGTCGACGGCACGTGCTCCTACTACCGTAGCCCTAGGTGCGCAGTGGCGACACGAGAGGCATCATGATGAGAAATCTTAGGCGCTGGATTTTCTTCCGTGATCGTGGTCGATTCCCTCCTTTCTTTCTTTCTTTTCCAACGCAAAGTGCGCAGTCGAGCAGCACCCGCAGTCCGGGCAGGGCTCGCCTCGGCTCGTCCCCGGCTTCGATTTGGCGCCCAGATCTGTGTGCCGATCTCGGCGCCACGTGTTCTGCCGTAAGGAATCGGCCACGTCAATGTCATCTGAGATTTTTTTAGTCCACAGTTAGGTACCTCGACGCTAAGGGCCTGTTTGGTTTCTTCCCCTCCTCCTAAAATTTCTGTCACATCGAATGTTTGGACACATGCATGGAGTATTAAATATAGGTAATTATTTAAACTTGGCGCCCATGATTATTTGTGAGAGCCGAATCTCGGCGCCACCATGATTTGACAAAGTGATGCCACGATGAAACATGCCGTCTCGGAAATTAGCCTCCATCTATGTAATTAGTTTTGTAATTAATTTATATTTAATGCTCCTTATTAGCCTCTAAATATTTGATGTGACATAAATTTTAGGAGTGCCTACAGAACCAAACACCCCCTAAGATCTATGGTGCTGAGACATGTTACCTCGGTGTTATGACTTATGGCGCCGACCCTAGAGTCAAAAATGAATTTAAGTCTTTTAAAGAGCCAAATATAAATTTTCTTCGGAAAAAGACCACATAGTAAAAAATTTAGGTCATCACGTCGGGACGATAGCAAGAGCCAAACTAACGTGATATATCTGGAGGTTTCTGAACCTTAGCGTGGAATAAGACAAGTACGCAAGTCCGATTCCGTTTTTCATTACTACTAATAGAACAGTAGTACGTGTAAGAGGGGAGTGCAGCAGCAACAGCCGCAGCCCGCAGCGCTGCTGCAGCTAGCTCTTCCGAGCAGGCTAAAAAAATTATTTCGGAAATGCTCTGCATAGGGCGTTCTTGCCCTCAACAACTCCACTCTAAAAATTTATAAAAAAAGTCCACTCGTCCAGACGTGACCAACACCCTAGAGACGCAACTTCAACTCGCCCGCACCGCCGCGGATTCCGGCGTGGTTCACGACGACCGCTGTGGCGTGCTCGGCCGCCTTCCTGGCACCATCCTTCCTCTCCACGGGACCTCCCTTCGCCGCCGCGCCCATGCGTGGGGACTGCTTCCTCAGTCACGAGTTGGCCACCCGAGGCCGCCGCGCACATGCTCACACCCGATGATGTCGACAGGCGCCGCCGGCGCAAGAAGTGTCAGGTCTTGGCACAGAAGCCCTCTATGGCTGCAGCGTCCCGGTGCAGACAGCGGTAGGGGGTCGTACGGGATACAATGCATGAGCGTACATTTCAGATATTTTAAATGTACAAAAGTAGATCGAAATATTACATATATTTAATAGTTGTACATATGTTGCAAGCGTCTATTCTCAATGTTTCATCTGTTTTGTTAGATGTACGTTGTAAGTATGTCTATCTGAATATTGTATATGTTTCACACATATATTGTAAGTGTTTTATCTAAATGTTGAGTATGTTTGAAATGATTTTCAAATATTTATACATGTTTTAAATGTTTCGTCTGTCCGTACGTCGGAAGCGTTATATCCGAATGTTCTGGAAGTAGACTAGGGCGTTGGACATGGAATCCGTGTCAGAAGCGGGTGGAGGCGTAAGCGGTCCCGCGCGAGCACACGGCGCGGGTGACGTCTGGGCAACGTGGGCCCACGAAAAGGCCGCGCGGGCAGGGGCGTGCTGTTACAGAGTGCAAGCACGCGCATGAAATGAATCGGCACGGATCACGTACCATCCGATGGATGGGGCATTCGATCGAAAGTCCGGGCACCAGCTGTTCGGAAATTATTTGGTACATGGTACTCACGCACGCACGCTGCGAAACGGATACACCCATACACTACGGCTACGCATGTTGATTGGCAGAACTCTTGGCATTGGCGGTACTGGGACGGCCGATTCTATTTGTCTTGAAACGACCTACAGATTTGTGGGGCCATCCACAGTATATCGCATAGCAATTCGCACATCGCAGCGGCAGCTGTGCGTAGTGGCAGCGCCATCCGCCGTATCCACGGACCACGGCCATGGTGCCGTGCCATCCGATTCCACCACAGAAAACAGATACCTTCAGTCAGCGGCACCGCGGCAGCACTCAGCATTCACCGAACACCAGCGATGAATGGGAGGTTTATTTAACACTTGGTAACTTGATTGCAGGTAAATCGTACCTGGGGGAGGAGCTCCCCCTCACCAGTAATGAAGTTTTAACAGTCAAGGATTATGTATTTACAGCGTTTGCGACTGGATCAGCCAACAATGTCAGATCAGGTGAATATATGGCGGAGGAGGCCTCCTGAGTAGGCGAACGACTTCTCCGTCTCCTCCAGGCAGTGGTCCTTCTCCTCCCGAGACCAGCTCTGCGGAACCAGTACATGGAACAGAATTTGCCATTTAGTTAAAAAGCTTTGGTCCTCGCACTGGGCCGGGAGAAAAGAGGCAGTCCAGGGGCTTACTGAAGCAACTTCGTTAAGCTTGTTGCGGACGTTCTGCAGCAGCTGGGAGAGATTGCCCTCCCACTTGTAGAACTCCAGCTCTTTCTTGTTCAGAATCTTCTCAGAAACCTAAGATACCAGGAGCACATGATACTCTGTTAAATGATACAAGATAACAGAGGAACAAGTAGTTTCAGACTTCTAATCTGCCCACATCAGCAATGGGAAAAAAAACACGGAGTCATATTCCTAACCGGAATTGCACTGTACTATTGACAAAGAAAAAAGAACACAAGGAATCATGTTCAATAGAAAATGCATAAGCATGCTTTGGGATTTGATTGATGACATCAGACACACAGAAAATATCCTGAATATGTGAATGCGGTGTAAATTATGTATGCCAAAATAATGTTTTGACATGATGTCATATACTCAGTATTTGTCATTTTCTCAGAAGAGGGGGTGGAGCGATTCACCTTTTTGCCAATCATTCGGCCTCCAGCAGTATGAGCAAAGTACACGTTATAGAAATGGCAGATAAATGCCTGGGGGTCCTTCTCAGACAGCTCTTCCAGTAGAGAAGAGTATGTGGTGCCAGGGTCCGATGGTTCTGGAATTGTGTGGCCCTGTTGCCTGAACCATTCCAGATCCTTTTTGAGTGCCTCTGATCTCTCCAGCCCAGTATTCCGGAACTCTGCATCTGAAACACACACCACTAGAATGTCAACAAGGAGCATCTTTGCAAATCTTGATGAAGCAATTGCCCATTAACTACTACACCCTCCGTTCCAAATTATACGACGTTCCGGTTTTTCTAGATACATTTGTTTTTACTATATATCTAAGACATAGTGTATATCTAAGTGCATAGCAAAAACTACATATCTAGAAAAGCCAAAACGTCTTATTATTTAGAATGGCGTATGAGATTACATTTGCACAAAAAGTATAGAAGTTTGTGAGCCCTTTCATTTGTCGAAGTCAATTGACTTGTCCATAGAGTAATACAATATTAGCAGCAGTTAAAGGTTCATATCATTTGATTGCACCCTTTCATGTGTTTCTTTGGTAAACATTTTTGTTTTCTAACAACGCACACAAATCAATAAAAAGAGATTGCTGTGTCTTACAAGCCAATCTATAATGAAGAGCTAACCCAAGAACACATGCAAACACAACAGCATATGGTAATATGTGTACCAAACTACCAATAGGTATAAAGAAACATCAGCCATTCTAGTTTCTAGATCTAACAAGAGCAAGGTTGCCGGGGCAGTGAGAAATTGGAATAGAATACTTGTATGACACTACCATTATCTCTTATGCTTTACTTACAGATAAACCATGTTAAGAGGGCAAATGCAACTATAATTACACCACAGACTACAACCATTTTTCCTACATGAGTGTTTAATCACGTTAATCCTTTAAATGAGTTCATATTGGAGGCCGTGGTGCAACAGTATGCAACCATATCACAAACTGAACTCCAAAACAATAATACAACAAAACAATCTTTTTTGCATGCGCTTGGGGTAATGGTTTTTGCAGATTATACCCTTGTAACACAAAATATTTCAAATTCAAGTGGTGATTAGAACTTTGACTTCGTATATCATAACAAAGTATGAAGGCCTTTAAATTAACGTCTAACAGTTGCGGTTGTGATGTTAATGCAACAGAGAGGAGGTACCTATCAAGATATAAATATTACAACGATACAGAAAACCACCAAACAGAAATAAAGGATAGATCAGACTATTATTCTTTTGAGCAAGTTGATCCATACATTGACCAAATTAGATGACCCAGAAAGAGGAACAAGTTCAGCAATAAATAACAATGTCACAAAGATAGAGATTTTTATGTCCAGTTTACATATACAAAATAGCACACTGGAATTCAAATGAAATAGCACTCACCATACTAATATAAGTCCATTAGGTTTGTCCTAAGTCAATCTTCTTCAACTTTGGCCATCAATATTTCAACCATCAATATTTCAAATCTTATATAGATTGAAAACACAAGATTGATATTATAACATTCATTTTGGGAAATACTTCCATAATATATTAATCTCGCATAGTCGATCTATGTACAATTTAAGATACTAACGGTCAAAGTTAAACAAGTTTGACTTAGGACAAACCTAGATGGACTTATTTGTGCTTGGAGGAAATAGTTTCTAACTTCAAGTAAAGCTCTCTATACTTATTAAACAGTTCTTGATCTAATACAAAGCAACTCAATCTTCACAAAAGGGAGAAAACAACAAGTCATTATTAGTTGAGTTCAAGCAAAACTAACTTCTTCCTTGCAAGAATATGCAACCATCCATGTGCTTAAAAGTCATTCTCTACCTATTACATGGATGTTTTTTTTTTTTTTTGCGACTTTCTATTACATCGATGGTTGGGCCAAACTCTTTTTCCAACACTCAAATTCATAGCCGAAAAGAGAAATAAAACCACCCAAAACAGTACAGGTGCATCCCCTCGTGAAGCTACCCAGCCACTGCTACCCCAAGTCCCCAACAGACATTGAACCTTCAGTTTAATAAAAAATAAATAAAAGTCATAGCGAAATTACTCTGCAAATTTTACCATCATTATTTTTTACTTTTCATGCATAGAAAATCGATTTATTATTAATCAATGGGCTATTGTATTCTTATTTTTTCTTACAAAAAAACAAAGTAGACAAGGAGTATTTTTTCTGGCAACGAGCCAATCAAATTTCACCGGTTCAATAGAGGCACACGAAGCACAACAGGCGCCATCCGCTTCCAGGGATCGCGTAAGAGCCGCACCTTTTTCCACCAATCAAGACAAACAGGGAACTAGGGAAGGGAAAGTAAAGCGGATCACTCACACCACGGGACGGCGGCGCGTTCGACGATGTCTTCGAGCGTCTGGAAGACGAGCTTGCTGTCGACGAGGAATCGGAGGTAGCCCTCGACGGAGGGCTCCCACTTGGCAACGGGAGGCGCCTCGGGCTCCTTCTCCCCCTCGCGGGCCTGGTCCTTGGTGTGGAGCTTCATCGCGACCGCCCGCATCTCCTCCACGAACGGCTTGCTCCCTTCCTCCCCACTCGCCGCGGGCGCCATCTCCGTCGCCGCCGCCGCCGCGACCAGCCTCCTCTGCGCCGTCACCGCCGCCGCCGCGGCCGCGAGAGCGACAGACACCACCCGGGTCACGGGCCGGGCCGCGACGGAGACGGAGACGGAGAGTCTGTTCCACCTCACGGTGGAGACTCTAGCGGTCGCGGTAGCGGGCGCGAGCAGGGAGAGGGCGTTGGGCGCGGAGAGCGATGCCTGTGGGGGCGCCATGGCCGCGGTGCCTTGTAGCGAGCGCTGTGCGCTGATGCTAGGGTACCGTGCTGGGGACGCGAAGGCGCCGCTGACGAACGACAGCGACCGGGGGACGGGGACTGTGGCGGTGGAGTGCGGTGTTGGTCTGGCGGCAGCGGGAGGTGCGGTGCGGGTGGGAGCGCGAGGAGCAGAGGAGACGAGGACGCTGGCTGGGAGTGGGAATAGAATAACCGGGGGGAACGGATTGGAACAGCCGGCTGGGGAAGACGATGGGCGGAAAGGGCAGACGACGGTTAGACTGACATGTGGGGCCTCTAAATTTTGTGGGTCCTGATGTCAGTGGGTACCCGAATGGATGAGAGAGGTAGTAGCAGCAAAACTTTACAGGTGTTGCTTTGGTATTGGTCCCTGACTGTGGGCCCCATAGCCCATGGGGAGCCAATGGGCCTTCGCGACTTCACGTGACCGCGGCCTGGGCGACAGTCTCGGCCATATCCTCGTGTTTTTAGCAGTATTTTATTACTTTCATAAGGTCCCTGGCCGCTGGCCCCTGGCAGAAATAAATAAAACCAGTATAATGTTTGTTTCCACTTTTATACTTTTCCTGTTCCTTAGCATATTTGGCGTATGTACGGAATATTAAATATAGATTAAGGGCTTGTCTATCTGAAACTCGCGTGTTTCAGGGGGGAGAAAACACGCACGTGTTTCCTGCACGGAAAACACACAGAAAAGACCCGGCAAAAATTCGAGTGTTTCACGCAAAAAAACACACGATTCTTTGTACCATGTATCCAATTGTACTTGTTGTAATTTTAGTACAAATCTGTGTCAAAAGGCCAAAAAAAAAAGGACAGATCTGTTTTGGTTGTAGTTGTTTGCTGTTGTAGCCCATAAACCTGCCAAAAAAAGCCCAAACCCATCAGCCCGATAAAAAACAACTTAGTCCATTAAAACACCCACCAACTTGGTGGAGAAGCAAACGCACACAGAAACAGATCGACCGATCTGTTCGTGAGGAGGAGCTCTACTCTCCTCGAGCAGGCATAGCAGGGCAAAAAGGGGAGAAACCAGACCAAAGCACGAGGGAACGTGGGAAATCTCAAGATCCAAGGAGGCAAGACTCACCTCAACATCAATCAAGGTCAGTACAACAGACATCCATTCATTTGCTGAGTTAGATCCCTGCAATATGGCATCATCAAACAAGTCATGGTCTGAAATCAATCTGTGCAAACAATTTTTCCTTCTTTAGATTGCAATTCAGCAGATAAAAAGAGTAAAATGGTGGTTACATTACCTTTTTGAACAATCTTTGATAATCCCTAGACGGGACACATGTTTTAGTGTACTCTGCTACTTCCGGTTCTTAGATCCTTGCAATCAGTGCTCTGCAAAATTGTCCCTGCAACAGATCGAATTACACATACGTCAGTATCTCTGCTTGCTCAGCTCAGCTCAGCTCTTGATAAAAACAGATTTCAAAATATGGAGGACACCTCACAACAAAACTATGATCTCAGTACAGTTGAAGGGATCAACAAGTGGCAACAAGCCCTGGAGAAGATGGCTCAGATGAACGAGGTACTAGTTCTCTTCACATAAGGCAATGACCATCCATTTGTTCAATTGGATACATGGTATACATAATGCATCTCCTAATATGAATTTACAAAATTATGTACTTTTCTTCATGATCTGCTACAAATGCAGAAACAGCAATTAATCACATCTAGTTTTTGAATGAAGCAGAACAGGTTATACATGACAACAAGCAGATTCGATGACTATGCAACATTATCCAACTCAATTAACACTGAAGCTATGATGACAACACACTCAGATCCTTTCCAGATATTTGGAGGCACAACTAGTTCAAGTCACCTTTTCAACCCATACACAATAAAAAAGGTGAGCAAATCATTGCTGAGATTGATAGAATCTGAACAGATACATGTTCTTAAAAGAACAGAAATTTATTTCCATACAGGATGGCTTGACTGAGCTTATGCTTGATCAAATTATGAGCTCACGAGAAGACATTGATCACACAGGAAGGGGTACCATGCAGGTACATAATTACAAAACAAACATGTTCAAAATTACTAGTGCTACATTGTGTAATCTTAGCTTAGAACAAGTGCAATTTCTAAAATAATTATTACAGGTACATGAAGCGACACAAGGATCGTTAACAGGCATGCTAATTGCAAATGACATGAATGCTTTTAAAGAAACCTTAGCACCCCAACCAGATTCATCAATATCAGACTCAAGGATGGCATACCAGGTACATGTCCACAAACACAACAATTTGCCACACATGCATCAGCAAAATTGCTTGAATACAAGTAATGCACTACAGCCATCAAACAAAGAAGAATTGACTTATCTGTGTACAACACAGGATTTTGGTGGTCACTATGATGAAGAAATACCAAGCTTTCTCCAGGACATACCTAAAAATAAAAATCATCATTGGCAAATTGACATATTCAACAACATGCACATTGATGAGGTAAACATAATAAATAATTATTCTTTTCTACACCTATTTCAATGCGTAGTGAATGTTTGCAAATGCAAAACACCAATAATCTGAAAAACTACACACTGCTAATAACATATTTACATGATCAGGAACTCACAGCGTCAGAAAATGGCTTCAGTAGCATCAATGCACCAATATCAAGAACCACAGAGGCTGCGTCAACTGTAATAGAAGATGAACACAATTCCAATGACAACCAATTCCTGATAGAAGAGGAGATTGATGAATTCATCATCGCAGAGCAGGTTGCTGCATCAGAAGGAAATAATGGGCCCATTGACAGCGCATACACACCTCAGCCGCTATAGAAGTTTGAGAGTAGAGCATCTGCCGAACACTTCTGCAGGTTCTATGCTTTTCTGGCTGGCTTCAAATTTGCTGCAAAACATTCAATGAGGACAACAGCTAAGAAGAGAGACAACGAGATTATAAAAGTAGAACTGAAATGCACCCATTCAGGCAAAGCACATCAACAAAAGTCCACTGAAGAAGAAGAAGCAGAGGTAGATAAGCAGATTGGAAAGAAGACATCAGCCAAAAGGAACACCAGTGTCTAAGGAAAATCAGAGTGTCCTTGTACAATAACACTGAGGGAGGAACGGGCAGGAGGTCCATGGTTCATAATGCATCAAGATTTGGATAACAACCATGAACTACGACCTGGAGACCGGGACACACTGTTCTCAGGGCACAAATACATGACTAATATGGAGAAGGGGTTGATCAGGACGCTAAATGACAACAACATCCCGACAAGACAAATGGTGAGCATACTGTCATACCTTGTCATACCTCAGAGGAGGACCCACAGCCCTACCGATGAAGAAGAAGGACATCAACAACTTCAGGACAAAAATCAACAGAGAGATCAAGGCCTCAGACATGACAAAGGTGCTGGATTACTTTAGAAAGAGGCAGACTGAAGATCCGTCCTTCTTCTACAAGCTGGACCTGGATGAAGAAAGGAGAGTCAGAAACCTGTTTTGGGCAGACGGTTGCTCAATCGAGTATTACAAAGAGTATGGTGAATGTATAAGCTTCGACACCACCTTCATGACAAACAGATACAACCTTCCCTTCTCTCCATTCGTGGGCATAACGGGGCACGCACAAAGTTGTTTGTTTGGCTGCGCCTTCCTGCATGATGAGATAATAGAAACTTTTCTATGGGTCTTTGAAACATTCTTGGAAGTGATGGGAGGGAAGCACCCAGTGACGGTAATAACTGACCAGGACAAAGCGATGAAATCTGCAATTCAGCTAGTATTTAGCAATGCAACTCACAGAAACTGCCTGTTCCATATCAAGAGCAAGTGTTACAACAGAAACACAAAGGTCTTCTCACAACATGAAGGCCTATATGAGGATTTTGAGGATATAATAAACAATAGCCTCACAATTGAAGAGTTTGAAACATTGTGGGTGAAGATGATCGAAGACAAGAATCTGTAGAATAACAAGTACATGACTAAAATGTGGCAAACGAGGCACAGGTTCATTCCTGTCTACTTCAAGCATGACTTCTTCCCATTCATCCAAACCACATCTAGAAGCGAGTCCATGAACTCGAGGATGAAGGACAATGTTGGGCCGAGATATAGCATGATGGGCTTCATACGAGAATACGACCATGTCATTGAAACAATCAACAAAAACGAGAGGCTAGAAGAAAGCTACAGCAACTAGAAAACACCCAAGGAATTCATTTTTGGGTACACAATTGAATGAAAAAAGTCATTGAAATGTATAACCGGAACATATTCAGGAAGTTCCAGGTACAGCTGAAGGCAACAGCAAGGTTAAGCTACAAGGAGACTGAGGAAGGGAAAACTTTTGAGGTCTGGCCCAAGAGCAACCAAATCCACAATATGCACAGAATCAGGAGATATACAGTTTAGACTGATCTGATAGAGGGAAATGAAGAATTCAACTGCATCTGTGCAAAGTTCAGCAAAGATGGAATTTTTTGCTCACATATCCTAAAAGTGATCATTGAGAAGGAAATAAGCACAATTCTAAAAAAAATACATAAAGGACAGGTGGAGAAAGAAGAGCACAAGCGTGCATGTTAGAAGAGAGCAAGAGGAGACCCTTGCAACAAGTGCATTGCTGAGGTTCAATGTGCTGTCCAGGAAGTCAGCAATCCTGAATTCAAAAGGATCGAAAACTGAGAAATCAATGGAGTACCTCTTGTCCAAGTTCAGCAAGCTGGATGTCAAACTGGATGTGCTTTTTGGCACCCAGCAGACAATTGATGGTAACAATCAGCAACAAGGTCATGAGGAAGGACACAACAGGCAACAAGAACAAGTGATGGAAGATGGCTACAGTATGGCGGATCTAGAAGAAAGTGATGAATCAGAGACAGACATTCAGGACCTAGAAAGAATAAAGACAAAGGGAAAGCCAGAAATCTCAAAGAGATTCAGGACAAGAATAGAATATTTTGAGAGGAAAATGTTGGAGC